AATAATAATAATAATAATAATAATAATAATAATAATAATAATAATAATCATTATTATTATTATTGATGATGATGATGATGATGATGATAATAATAATAATAATAATAACAACTATTTTTGTTGTTGCTATACTTGACATGAATAATGGTTCATGACAAAATAATGGTTCGTAAGTTTAATTAATAAACGTGAAATAATTTGAGACGTTTCAGCATATTTTTCTTGTGAGCGCGCGCACGTGTGTGTTTGTGTGTGCATGTGTGAGAAAGAGAGACACTTTTAGAGACGTTGAAAAGACTGGTAAGGTTTAAGGACATTTTCGTTCCTGCCACCTTCATCATGCAATCTTTAAAAAACACAATCAAATCTATAAAAAAAACCCAGAAAACTTGTACACAAATTTAGAAATACAAGAATCCTAAAAACAAGAAACCAGAAAACAGCTAAGAATTCTAGACAATAGACATACGAGACATATCACATCACATAAAATCACATAAAATTTAGAGACATGTGGAGGTGATGATTAGGGGACAGTGATGGCCAGTGCTGGTTAATAGACTACAGCTAATCTGAATTATGTAACAGTTAATGTAGTACATTTTTAAAAGTGTTTTCAGTCTGATTATGTGTTTTTTAAGGAATGTTATATTTCAAGATTACATTTTTTATTAAACAGCATCAATAAATATCTATCTTTAGGTGCCTTGGTGAAAAGGCTGTTCAGCCATGGGAGCAATATTCATACCACAACACTCTATCATTTCACAAATGCACATAGTGAAGTGTTTCAGTTATGTTATAATCCCAAAATATGCACCAAGGAGCTGGACAAATCTGTCAGAGAGATCTAGATTCCCCTTCATTTTTGTTCTAGGTACATTGTAAAGGGTGTTTGAACCACTGTGTTTATCTGAAACCTGTTGGCATCGAACTGTTTAAATGGCCAGGGCCCACCAGCAGGCCCAAAGTTTTATTACACACTTCTAAAGCCTAAGCATATCTCAATGAGTTTGTATTGATGTCCCTCTAGTTACTGGATAATAAGCCTTAATAGGTACTAAGCCTGAGATTTTAAGGGGTTAATGAAAGGAGTGTTAGCCTAATTTCCACATTATCAGTATTTAATGATACTCAGTACTTTACCAGTTGAATAATGCAGTAAAGAATAATGTTTGGCATCTTTGTTAATAAAATGAATAATCAGTGAAGTATAGTTTCTATTTTTGTGTTTTTTCTGAGGAACAGTATGAATTGCTATCAGAGCCTCCCTGATTATTTTTAGCATTAAAAAGGCTGTTTTTCAGCTGATGACATTTAAGCATTTCAAGCTGATCTGGTGTTTATTTCTATTTTTTTGCCAAAGATGTCAACCAGGCTGTAGAGGTAAACCATCCCACACCAAAATACTATTACTACTCCTAAAGATATTGTAGTGTACTGCTGCTGGCTGGCACTGGCACCTGAGACTCTAGAGGTGTGGCTATGCAGATAACCACATGCAAAGGCTCATGGTAGCAGGTGCCTTCCAACAAAGGACTTGTTTATGTTGCTTATTGTTATTATCAGTTAGTTTCATTTATGTGTACATGGTGTTTGTTTTATTTAGTGTCGGGGGTTGTGGGTTTTGACTGTGAATATAAGTTATAGCCTGACTAGCGCATTTCAGTCAGATGTTATAAATGGAATACAGCAGCAGCTGTTCTGCTTTTAGTAACTGTTGTGACCCCCTTGACCAGCATTGAATTCAACCAAATGGTTCCTGTAAGTGTTGACCAGCCCTGCACATTGACTAGGAGGAATCTTGGCCCATTCCTCTTTACAGAACTGTTTCAACTCTGTTATGTTGGTGGGCTTTCTTGCATGAATGCCTAGTTTGAGGTCCTGCCGCAACATTTCTATTGGATTAGGGTCTGGACTTCAACTTCAAATTCAACATTTATTCTGCTTTTTAGGGTAATTGTTTTTCTGCAGGAACCACCTTCTATTTAGGTTCAGTTAATGGATGTATACCCTAACATCCTCCTGTAGAATTACTTGATACAGTACAGAATTCATAGTTCCATCAGATGATGGTAAGCTGTCCTGGTCCAATAGCAGCATACATGCATACATACATCATCTAAACCGCTTATCCTTCGGGGTCGCGGTGGGGTGCTGGAGCCTATCCCAGCTGTCATTGGGCGGAAGGCAGGATACAGCCCTAAACAGCCCTAAATCATGATACTGCCACCACCATATTTCAAATTTGGAATGAGCGTTTTATGCTGGTATGCAGTGTTTGGTTTTGCCAAATATGGGATTTTTCATTAAAACCATAAAGATCTATTTTCACATTCACATAACATTATTTCAGAGGTCTTCTGAATCATCCAGGTGGACTTTAGGAAACTTAAACCCCTACATGGCCAAAGGTTTGTTGCATACTTCTATAATCATCCGGCTTGAAGGACATTTCGTTTGGGGGCAGTCGTGGACTGGAGGTTAGGAAACCAGCCTTTCCTAACCTCCAGCCCAACCTCGATCCCCTGAGCCAACAGTACGTAGCTGAGGTGCCCTTGAGCAAGGCACCTAACCCCCAACTGCTCCCTGGGTGCTGCGGATAGGGTTGCCCACCGCTCCGGGCAAGTGTGCTCACTGCCCCCTAGTGAATGTGGTGTTTCACTGCACGGAGGGGTCAGATTGCAGAGGTGAAATTTCCCTGTTGTAGGACTAATAAGGGTCACTGAATCTAATCTAATCTTAATCTAAGAATAGCTCAGCAAGTTTGCAGTGAAGTCCCTATAGTTATTGAATAATAAGCCTTAGTAAGATAAAAGACTATTAACCTTGTTAATTACTTAGCAAGGGGAACAGTTTGTTACTTATTACCATATAGACAATTTATATAATACTAAAGATGAAAAATATGAAGTTTGTCCTTCACAAAATTAATAATACAATATAAACATCATAAATAAAAAAATCAAATATATATATATATATATATATATATATATATATATATATATATTCTTTACTCCAAAAGGATATTTTGCATGTATTTCACATGGACAAATATTGCACATGGAGTACTGCACATGAAGTATTAATTATGTTACACATATATATGTAATAAACCTGCGATTTTAGGAGGTTAAGCTTTAACTCTATGCTATCATTCCATACGTTCTATTTTTCGTTCAGAGTCTGTCTGATTGTAGACTCATGGGCATGAGACATTAGCCACTGCAATGAGAGGCCTGCAAATTAGATGTTACACTGGGGTTCTTTGAGGTCTCCCAGAGTATTATACACTTCACTCTTGGTGTCGCTGTTGCTGAATGACCACTGCTGTGAAGGGTAGGAATGGTCCTGAATTTCTTCCATTTGTACAGTATCTGCCTGACAGCAGATCAGTGAAACCCACACTTCTGAGAAATTGTTTTGGAACCTCCTCCAGCCTAATGAGCATTGGCAAATATTTTTTCTGAGGTCCTCAGAAATCTCATATGACTGAGACATGGCATGCACTAACAAATGTGCGTGCTAAAAGCCAGACTCTGATGATAAAGACTCAGGTTGATGTTTTGGTTTTTGAATAGGACAGGGTGAGCCACACTCACACTTTATAATCAATCAACTGATTGAACCTACTGATCCTAATTATCGCCAATACCAAACTTGATAATTCTAGAGGTTCACATACTTTTGCCAACAAAGATATTTAATTATTTTTATCTATTGTTATGACTTACATGAATATCTTGTCATATTTTAGGTCAACCTTATGCAGAAATGCACATAATGCTAAAGGGTTCACAAACATCAAGCAGCATTATATGTAATCAGCCAGATGTTCATATGTATGCTTATGAGGGAAAGAAAGTCCTTTGTTTCTTTCAGGGAATTGTTTTTGTGTAATAAAAACATGCACATGCTCAGATACATCCCAGAGTAGACTTCAGCGGCTGCCCTATCAAATTGTGCTCAGTGAAACTCATGTGATGTTTTTCTTCTCCTGACTTGTGATGTGTCATGGAATTAAAGAGTAAAGTGTGTATATGCAAAAACACATCTTTAGAAGTCAGCATACAGAAACAGCTCAGTAAAAAAACTACACCCCTGCTTCGATCTGCTCTATTATTTTTCAGTTTGAAATAGTTAAAGATACTAACTCTAATATGCATTTTGTATTTATCTACTGACCCAGTTAATTTGCTGTGCCTGCTTTGGCAAAACCAGGTTTGTGACCCAGCACATGATTTGCATATTGAGCTCTAAATTTATGCCTGTTGATGTGAGTGGTCGGGACCCAATTCTGCTTCCTGTTATGGGAGCCAATCACCTTTCAGCACAGTATTATAAAACTGCTCTTGTAGTGGTTTTAAGTGCAGAGTAATGCGTGAATATCAGCTACATCTCGAGAGTTTATCATCGTCCTTCAAAAACTGTAAGTGAGCTCATGGAATGAGTTCTTTTTCATTGGCATTGCATTGAAACTGCATTTAGTTGGATCTTATTTGCACATTATTTACTAATCATTTACTGAAGTGTTTGTAAAATGTAACTGAACAGAGCTTTTTCTTCAGGACATACATTACTTACAGAGTTGGGCAATGATCCAGTTTTGGGCACTTGTTCTGCTCTCAGCATTCGGTACTGTTTAATCTTTTTCCAACAGTAACATATTCATGTTTTTTTTTTAAAAGCTGCGACTGTAAAACATCTGGATTAATGTACTACTTCAAGCAGTTATTTTCTATTTTTCAAATAACGATTCATTTTTTTTCTGTATTTTTTCTTCTTCCTTTTTTAAAGGTGGCACCTCAAAGATTGACATTCAGTGTCTAAATGGACTGATGTACATTCAGGACGGAGGAAATATTAATCTGAATTGCTTTTTTACATCTGTTGATGTAACAGTGATAGCATGGCTCAAACAGACTCCAGGAAAAAAGCCGCTTCTTATTGCTTCTGCTTTTCGTTCTACAACGGTCACATATCATAACGGATTTGACATGAGCGGCCGCTTTAATGCACTAAGAGGAAAAATGAGTTTTAATATGAGTATCTCAAATGCAGAACCATCTGATTCAGCAACATATTACTGTTCAGTTAAATATTATACAGATATTGCCTTATTAGACTGCACAGTTTTAGTCCTCAAAGGTAGGTGACATCAATTTTGACACCTAAATCTTTCTACACTGTAAACCCCTCATTTGAATTCCATTCAGTGATCATGAAATAACATTATACTCTCTTTAGGTTCACCTTCAAGTCTCTCTGCTGTTCTCCAGCCTCCTGTATCAGATCCTGTTGAACTGGGAGGAGATACAACTTTGCAGTGTTCAGTACTCACAGATACGTCTGCAGGAGAACACAGTGTGTACTGGTTCAGACATGGATCAGGAGAATCTCATCCAGGAGTCATTTACACTCATGGAAACAGGAGTGATGAGTGTAAGAAAAGCTCTGAGACTGATTCTCCTACACAGAGCTGTGTCTACAAACTCCCCAAGAGAAACCTCAGCCTCTCTGATGCTGGAACTTACTACTGTGCTGTGCTCATGTGTGGAGAGATCATCTTTGGGAACGGAACTAAACTGGACTTTGCAGGTAAGAGCAGATATTTGAAATGCCTTAAAATAGCCTCAAATACAACCCAGATACCAAAATGTTGTTATAAAATTAGAGAAAATGACCCAAATTACACATGATTCCCAGTATTGTGTGCGGTGCTGAAGATGTGGTTTGTAAAGTGTGAGGTGATCAGTGTCTGGGTACAATAACCTCCATACAGAAATTTAAACTAGATTAATAAAATAAGTTCACATATACAGCTACCATATTGTCATTACAGCTAATGAGTTGTCAATCAGTATTAAAACTCAATACAATGTTAGTGATGAGAGTAGCATCCTGTACTCTGATACACATGCGATATAGAATAGTAGTAAGAATATTGTTAACAGTGAGAATCAGTTTCTTGCCCATTGCAATTACAGGTTTTGTTACATTGTCCATGACTGAAACAAAGATTTTGTCTGATCTTCATCCTTCAAAAACCTATACATTATTAATGTTGTGTAATAAGTATAGAAAATAATTACAGCACGCTGAATTGCATTTATAAAAGCAGGGCAGCTCAGTGCTTAATTTCAATATCCTGTGCATTAACTGCACATAAAATGTTTAGTTCTCATTTAATCAGTAAAAATCCATAATCTGCGATGGGAGGCTAAAGCAGTTTTCAAGCCATTTTGACCATGTAAAATAGGGCTTCATAACCGTACTCCCCCTGAAACACAACTATGGATACCAAATGCACAAAAGAACAGGGCAAATCCTGACTATAACTGCACAAAACAACAAATATCTCTTCTGGCTCTATTTAGTTAGAGTTTTAAATGTACAGGAATATTTGCATATAACTTTTCTGAATGAAGCAATATTAATACTTTATGCGAGGTAACTGCAAGGTAACTGAATGGTCTTAAGCAGATTGTTAATTTTTTTCTGAAAAGCCTTCGTCAAATGTGGACACTTTGTAGAAGAATTAATCTAATGATCATGCAAGGGGACACATAAAAGGTGGCAAAGCTACACATTGACACTGACGCACTGACACAGTGGTGCATGTCTTCACTCACATGGCCACTCTCACTTACAATGATAATTCAATATCAGCAAAAACTATATGTTCTCAAAAATATAGGTTTTATCACCAACCCCCACTTGCTTTCCTGTTGTAGAGAAAGGTGTTTTGGTCCCAGTCATTCTTGGTTTAGCAGCATCAAACATCATCTGCATGGCTGTGGTTTTATTTCTGTGCAGAAAATTACATAAAAGTCATCATGAAGGTGGGTTTTGCCTCTAAAACTGATATGACTGTTCAGTTTGTATTGTTAATGTAGTTTTGTGATTTTTAAAAGGTGTTCAGTTTCAGGTATTCAGCTATTGTGTAACAGCTTTGATTGATTTACTTTTTTACTTTTGTTACTGGATAAAGAAGCTGCTGAAGGTCATGCAGTCCAAGTAAATCAGGTGATTAATTTACTTTCTTCTAACTTTTCTGCTAAACACAATCTGTGGAAACTCTCATGTGTTAAGTGCTCCATCTGAACATTAGAATCACTCTTATCTACAATGATTACCTCTCTGTACCTCACAAAATACTGTGAAATGTGATTTTGCTCACTATGGTTAATCTGCTGGTTGTGGGATCTTCTAACTCTTCTGATAAACTCTCAATTTGTTCCTCTAGTTTTGCAGTTAAACCTGTTAAACACTGTTTTCTTCTTCAGGGTGAATGTGATGAAGCTTTGAACTATGCAGCACTGAGTTTCACTAATAAACCACCGTCAGCCAGAGGAACTAGAAGACAACAGAAGCTTAAAGACGCTGAAGTTTACTCTCAGATCAAACATCCCCAATAAAACTGAATTACTGAACTGAATATTATCAACTATTGGTATTTGAGTACTAAGTTTGATGCAGTGTTTAGTTAGCTTAGTTTTTTTTTGCCAAAGACAGTCAGAGCAAGATGCTAAAGGTTTTTGGGTATGAACGTTTTGTAACTTGTTTATCTTTGTTATATTTTTCCAATCACATTCTAATGTCTGGGACATTTTATAATGACATGAATATATATGAATGCAATATAATTTTGGGTATATGCTTTCTGTCTTCTGTGATTGTCATAAGTGAGAAATTGATCAGCCTGTTTTCTGTGTTTTCACTTAAATCAGTCACCTTTCTCATTAAGATTAAAGACAACTTCAAGCATTTCTAAAAAGTATTGTGACTATGGGTGTTCACTGCCACATTACAGTACCCTGCAGCAGGTCACTGGGGGCTATGTAGCGAACTGTTATTCACTGGCACTGTCAGCGAGAGACTCTGGAGGTGTGGCTAGGCAGGTTGCCACACGTTAAGGTTCATGGTAGCGTCCGTCCTCCAACAAAGAGACCTATTGTGTTGTTTCATATTATTTTCTGTTCATTTAAGTTGTGTGTACATGTTATTTGTGTTGTTTAGTGTCAGGGGCTGTGAGTTTTGTGTGTAAAAGGGGGTCACCATCAGGGTGAAGTGTGTGGCTAGTGGTGACCTCCGCTGTGGTTTCAATGTCCAGTATGTGCTTTTCTGCTTTTGTGCTCAATAAAGATTACTTTTTGCAGAAGATCATGGCTACCTTGGTGTTCATGTCACAGTATTTTGCAGTGCTTCTTTTTAAAAGGGTCTTGCTTCATCTAAGTAGCTTAATGGACGATGTGCACAGAATAATGACATAAAAGCTACTCTTTCTCTTTATTTACAACATATTTATATCTGATCACTCAAACCATATCTGGACATGGTCTATAAAAAGAGTCATAAAAGTGTAAATGCATCTGTATCCCCAAGACACGTCTGACCATGAGGACCCATCCCAACACTTTTATGACTCCTCCCCCTGATCTTCTATGGGAAAGGACCACCCCCTGGACTGCTGCTGTTTAATATAAGCAGAGCTGCTCTTTCAGTTCAGTTTGTGACAGGTGCTTCTCCTGTGACTTCAAGTTAAATAGTTTGTTTCACCAGCCCTGCATGCTGAGCTAAAAAAAGCTAGATAGAACATCTAGCTTAATAAAGCACTATAAAAGCACCAGTTTACTTCACCTCACTGTTATTCACAATCTAACTACACCATTTTAACTACAATTAGTCTAAACCACTGTCTTCTTGCAAGTGGCATGCAATTTTGTGATTTTCAAGGTAACAGCAATGTTTTGAACAGAGCATGCAAAAACACAGGCAACTGGCTGCTCATGTTATAAACTAATTTGCATATTTTGCATAAAGCAATCAGATTTCAGTATGACACTCTAGAGACACAGTTGTCTATCAGCTTTAAGGACATGTGGTTAAAATCTGAACAGAAGTCTCAACAAACAGTGAGATGTAAACAGGGTCTTTAAATCATGTTATGATTTTTTCATATGAGCATCTTATCTGACGGTCACTTGTAACCAGCAGTGCTCGGCTCCTCTGAGGCAGAGAACCAATGAGCATCTGAACCAGCAATTTGATGGTGTGATTTCTCAGAGCAGCTGTGACCACAACATCTGCACAATCACATCCCTACAGCGCCCCCTGTCCAGCCCGTCTTCTACAGAGTGCATCCTGTCTACATGGGGAATTCCACCCCTCACCATCACATTGCTTCTATTCTAGGGGTCTTTTAGCACTTCTTAGAAACCGTAATCAACCTAATAAATATTTGATGTAAGAATATTTGTTCTAATATCAAACAATAAAAAAGTTTTCAGTGAAACTGAAAATTCATCACAAGCATTCACATGTTGAACCTCTGTCTGTTATTCAATTATTAATCTGAAGGTTTGTTTAAACCTTGAAATTAACCTTTGAAAATAATATGTAAGTTCTATATTTATCATAGTGACAAAGTCAGGAAACCTGACAAAGTCAGTTAAGTAGCTGTTTTTAAGTAGGTCTGTTTAAGGACCATCATTTGATGTGGTTGGAAGTTTCAGCAGCCCACCCTCCACTGCAGTATGTGTGGGCAATTTACACTGTGGTTACTGCTAAACATATACTTAAATGTGAAATGCAGTTCACAAGAATAAAGAAAAAATTCTTTTTATGATAATATCATAATAGTATTGTTGTCTTAACAGATAAGGTGGATGCCTTGCGATGAGAAAAGCCTCAGAAACAAAAGCAAGGCTAGATTTCCTGGACCTGTGAGAAATGCTTATAAAGAAACATTAGAAAGTAATTTTATGTAAAAATGTCATCTGTTAATCACGTTTATAATTCCTGATCCAGTGTATTTCTGGAGCTTTGGAGCCATTCGCCCCCGTCTGGAGACCAGAACAGCTGATTCCGTAGCTTATGAGCAGTTTAACAGCAGCACCTGCAGGTCCAGTGTTTACAGTGTCATCCCCAGACTGTGAAATTATATACTAAAATGCAATTAATTACATAGAAGGTTTTATTGCTTATTTTAGGAGTTATGGAAATTGATTTTGTGTTAAACTGTGCAATCCAAATCGATTATAGGCATGTCTAGGGGTCCTCAGCTTCATTTAATAATAAGCCTACAGTAAAAATGAAATTACGACCATAATTTCTTTACCGTGTTAAAGTTTGAAGAAAAACTGTAATTGATATTTAAAATTCATATTAATTTTAGCAATTTTATTATGTGAATATTATTACAATTATATTACAATTTATATTATGAAATTTTAATTTAGTAAAGTTAATTTCAAGTTCTACATTTCTGGAGAGGGGTGAGGGGGCTGGGCCTGATTCTACCTCCTGTTGTGGGAGCCAATCAGCTTTCAGCACAGAGTTATAAAGCTGCACTTGTGGACCTTTGCATGTGTTGAAAAGTTACTTTTGACCTTCAAAAACAGTAAGTGAGCTCTCAGAATTAACAAGTTAACAGGATTGCACAGACTAATATTATCATTAACAGACCTGCTTGTCACCATGAAATATAAAAGAGCATAACATTTTTTTGTTTTCTTTTCAGGAGATATATTACTTGAAGAGTTTGGCAATGATTCGATTTTATGCACTTGTTATTGTCTCAGCAGCCTTAGGTACTGTTTAAGCTTTTTTTTATTTTTCAACATTAATGATGTTCACTTTGCTTATTTTACTTTAGAAGCAGCTAAAATAGTGTACTTTCTTCAAAAATGTTCAAACAGCAATAGTTTAACAGTTTCTTTTGTTTCCTTTTAGGTGACACTTCAAAGATTGATATTCCATGTCTAAATGGACTGATGTACATTCCTGGCGGGGAAAATATTAATCTGAATTGCTTTTTTTCATCTGTTGATCCGTCAAAAACTGCATGGTTTAAACAGACTCCAGGAGAAAAGCCTCTTCTCATTGCTTCTACTTTTCACACTGTAGACGCTGCATATCATAATGATTTTGACAAGAGCGGCCGCTTTAAAGCTTTAAGAAGAAAAAGCAGTTTTAATCTGAGTATCTCAAATGCAGAACCGTCTGATTCAGCTACATATTACTGTTCAGTGACGGATTATACGGATAATGCCTTATTATCAGACTGCACAGTTTTGGTCCTCAAAGGTAAGTGTTAGTCTACTACAGTCTGCTTTTATAAAATGCCATCAATTTTGAAACCCAAATATTCCTACACTGTAAACCTACATCTACATCTTATTCGATAATCAGAAACATTTTCCTCTCTTTAGGTTCATCTTCAAGTCTCTCTGCTGTTCTCCAGCCTCCTGAATCAGATCCTGTTGAACTGGGAGGAGATACAACTTTGCAGTGTTCAATACTCACAGATGCGTCTGCAGGAGAACACAGTGTGTACTGGTTCAGACATGGATCAGGAGAATCTCATCCAGGAATCATTTACACTCATGGAAACAGGAGTGATGAGTGTAAGAAAAGCTCTGAGACTGATTCTCCTACACAGAGCTGTGTCTACAAACTCCCCAAGAGAAACCTCAGCCTCTCTGATGCTGGAACTTACTACTGTGCTGTGCTCATGTGTGGAGAGATCATCTTTGGGAACGGAACTAAACTGGACTTTGCAGGTAAGAGCAGATATTTACAATCCATTTGAATTGCCTTAAGCCGAATCCAGATACAATTTAATTATCTATTTGTATGCAGATATATGATGTAAATGACCTATGATATGGATTTTTTATCTGTTGTGCAGCAGTGTTGGTATACATAATGGTATGCAGTCAAGAAGCCATTTCTAAATGTAAAATTGCATAACATAGATGTTTTACAGCACACTTTGTATTAGTTCATTCTGCATCAAATTTGTCAGAAATTCAGGTTCAGTGATAAAGCTCTGATTTCTTTATTATTATAGAGAAAGGTGTTTTGGACCCGACCATTCTTGGTTTAGCAGCATCAAACATCATATTCATGGCTGTGGTTTTATTTCTGTGCAGAAAATTACACAACAGTCACCATAAAGGTAGGATTTACACATGTACGAAATTTCAGTTCATATTTCTGTCAAATAACAATGTATTTTTTCTATATGGTTGAAATATGATATATATTTGAATGGTTTACTTATTATTTGTTGAAGATGCTGCTGCAGATTACAGAGTTCAGATAAATCAGGTGATGATTTCACTTTCTTCTATTTTTCTTGTGGGTCCTAATTTTAATTGGTAATCGTAAATAAGCATCGACATCTTGTGAATGTTCTTTCAGACTTATACATTTATTCTGTATGTGTTCCAAATATACTTGATTAATATTAATTAGCGGAGACGAATTTAACACATAAATTAACACATTGACACAATAAATCA